GAACCCACAACGTAAGCGTAATTTTATGTGACCCTCCGTGCAAAAATGGCAATGCCTGATTTACAATGGTACCCTTGAAAGGTTTTCCTGATCAAGTATGAATTAGATATTTTTGTTTATTTTAAACTGTTTAATTTAATTTGCGGTTTTTCTGCAAAAGTGATTCGTGCATTCCTTTTTTATAAGAAGCAATGGAGAAACAAACACTTTTCGAGTCAGAAGAACGACGGTTTCTTCCACATTTTGATCAGATTAAGGTTTTAAGGGTTCTGTTGTAAATCGGGCATTGTCTTCTATGCATAGAGGGTCACTTAAACATTACACTTGCAGTTCCTTTAACAAGGTTTATCTTTTAGTTAAATATAGATCAACCTTCAATATTTGACTAATTAATTAATATTTAATTATTGTTTAAATTAAGGGCTTAATAATTGGAGGACCCTGGATCACCTTGTCATAATTTAGTAAGCAGCATGGTTCAGTTTAATTTTCTACAGTGGTAGGCGATTATATCAATATAATAAAGACGACTTTCGATTACAATTTTGATTTATATCAAGCTTTTAAACAGCATGTATAGACAAAACATGAAAACAAAGAGAAGCGGTCAATTAAAAACGCTTCTCTAAAAAAAACTTGTTAACAATAAAAAGTCGTTAATATAATCGCCTACCACCGTACAATTTCTTTTTTTATTTAATCAGCTCTTTATCTTTTTAATACTTAATTCCTTTTTTTCGTTTTTAATTTAATGAACGTTTTTATCTTTTATATTCTTAATTTTATTTTTTTTATTTTCTGCACAAATAACTCTAATCCCTAAATAGCATTTCTCTCTTGCAGCTTACACCTTTGCATACTGTATTTCTGTCTGAAAACAAAATATTCAATTTACCAAAATATTGAATTTAGATAAAACAAATGTCGATCGAATTATAACTAACTTATGATTTATTTTTAACCTTCTTTATTTTTCTCTCTTTTTATTCTTGAGGGAACAAATTTTAAAACAAAAAATAGATTTTTTCTGCTTTTTTAGTTCTTGTTACTCAACTTAATTGGACTGTAAACGTAATTTCAAGTGACCCCGCATTTTTAGAAAAACATTTCTAATTCACAACGGTACCCTTAAATGCTTTGTATGACCAAAGATTATGTCAACGGTTTCTGAAAATTATTATTATTTTCAATTATGTTTTTCTATAAAAGCGGATTCTGGATTTGTTCTTCAGAAACAGACGGAGAATATGTTCAGATCAAGTTGATAAAACGACGATATCTTCTACGATATTGATCATATAACGGTTTGTTGAACCCAGAAAAATGGGTTCAGGGTTCTCTTGTGAATTGGGCATGCCCCTTTTAGGACAAAAGGTGACTTGAAATTACAATAACAGTCTCTTTAACTTCCGATTCAATATTCTTAAATTCCTAGCTCCAGGGTTCATCCTAGTTGTATCATCTTTAGAGCAGAGCTCCAGGGTTCACCGTAGTTTAGTTTTATCATCTTTAGAGAAGAGCTCTCTTCACTTAATATTCTTAAATTCCTAGCTCCAGGGTTCACCGTAGTTTTATCATCTTTAGAGCAGAGCTCTCTTCAATTAACTCCAGTCTTCTTAATTTGAAAACTTTTAGAAAGATCAAATTTTAAAATATGAATACCTAATCATAAAAGTTTAAGCTCTAAGGGATCATGTAAAAATTTTATGTGTCTTTTCTAGAACAGAAGGAATTTTTTTGGATCACATAAATTCAATGTCAAAGAAATGTCAAAAAAAAGTTATGAATTGGCGCCAAAAGTGAACGAGACAAGTTCAGAAGCGTTTAAGATTACATTTACGTTAACATTGAATTTGAAATTTTTTTCTCTTTCTGTTTTTTTCTTCATTAGATTTAAAATAAGAATTTAGTAATTTACAACTTCTATATCTCTAGCTGTGTCACTAGCAGATTCCTATTACTGTTAGAAATTACAAAATCAATGATAAAAATTAAAAATGTTTGTTTTCTAATCTCTTTATTTTTGTAACCTGATTTTCGGAATTAAAACTATGAACTCTGCTTGATCAAAAATTAAAATTTTATATATCAAAAATATAAGAAGATTAGAGCGTTTCTTTCATTTTAATAAAAAGACTGGATGAAGACGACAATCATCCTGCTTGATATTAATTACCACTGTATATGTTTTTACATATAAATAAGGCAGATAAATCTAGATAATTGAATTGTCTGTAGGTTCTATAGAAAAGGAATTGAATAGAACATTTATTATTTATTCAAGAGAAACATTTCAAGAAAACCTGTTTAAACCATTAAAATGTAATAAGTTTTTTCAACTTTAGGATCGTCAAAATGTATGTATATATTCTTGCTAAATTATTACTAGAAACCCAAGCGTAGAGGTTTTTACTGATCCAGCATTTACACAAGAGCATGTCCAATTATAAATGGTATCCTTGCAACCTTTATCAGATCAATAATGTGGAACATTTTTTATATTTAAAAGTAGTTAATTCTGATCACTCCAATAATATATTCCTGCAGCAGAAATGCGCGAGTCATTTTTGTAGAGAACCCACAACTGAAAATCATAAATATATAAAAATTATCAACATGAATATCTAATTCATTCTTGATCCGACAAACCTTTTCAGGAGTACCATTTAGGGACCATTTAGGGACCGTTTAGGGACCGTTTAGGGACCGTTAAGGGTACCATTCAGGGTACCGTTTAAGGGTAACGTTTTGAATCGTAAATGCAACTCGGTAAATGTAGAGTACCTTGAAACTATGCCAACAGACCCTTAGATATTTTTCTTCAGATCAAATTTTCCATTAAATCTACTGTTACAGTTTCCGGGCCCGTAGCAAGGATTTACAATAAGAACGTGCACAGAAATACTAAACTGCGCGCCGATGAACATCTCATACCCCCTCCCCCCTCTTTAGTTACTGGCCCATTTTCACTAATTTGCTTTTCTGCTCTTGAGGTTTTTAACTGAACATTGTGGGATCAAGGTATATATGTTCCTGTATATTTGAATGTAGTTACTAGCTAAGGTATATATGTTCCTGTATATTTGAATGTAGTTACTAGCTAAGGTATATATGTTCCTGTATATTTGAATGTAGTTACTAGCTAAGAAAGCATTCAACTATTCTGTCTGTATGCAACTCATTATTCAACAGCAATTATTCTAATTATACAATTATACAAACTATTTATATTAATATCCTAGGAGGGATTCATCCAACATTATCTTTCGTTCATCCAACATTATCCTTAGTTCATCCAACATTATCTTTCGTTCATCCAACATTACCCTTATTCTTTAAATTCTTACATAGTTTAATTTTTTAAATGTTCAGATTATTTTTTATTTAGTATTTTATGTTTTTTTTAATACTCCGATCTTAATAAAATCAATAGAATTAGTTTAAACTTTTATTTTATTTGTATTCGCTTTGCACCAATTTACTTTCGTTTGAAATGCACTTGGATTCGTTTTCCAATTCTGCATTTTAAATTTAAAAACATTTATTTTTTAGTTGAGTATGTCGAGAGTGGAGGATAGAGTTCTCTAAGATTAATCTTTTACCAGTTCTGTATTAGGACAATATTATCTCACCTATAGATCATGGAACAATTAGTTATAAATAATTACATAAATGTAAGCAGTTGGGGACACCATGCAATCTTTCGAAATCCTTGAAATAATTTAGGATTGATTTAAATGTTATTTTTTAAGCATTTTTCATAATGTTGTCCCTTTTGCCAGCTTTTAGACTGTAAAAAAGGTTTCCAGACATAAATAGATTTTTTTATTTGTTTTTGTTGTTTTACTTGTACAGTACAGTACAGTACAGTACAGTACAGTGCTGCACAGTACAGTACAGTACAGTGCTGCACAGTACAGTACAGTACAGTGCTGTGCTGCACTGTACATTACAGTACAGTACAGTACAGTACAGTACAGTACAGGACAGTACAGTGCAGTACAGTGCTGCTACAGTACAGTACAGTACAGTGCTGCACTGTACATTACAGTACAGTACAGTACAGTACAGTACAGTACAGGACAGTACAGTGCAGTACAGTGCTGCTCTGTACATTACAGTACAATTCTTTACAGTACATTTAGAATTTTTTATGTTTTCATATTTGAAGTTACGCTGAATGTATTCCCCAGTGTTTTTATTTACTGTATTAATGTATATAAAAAGGCTGTGATTTTATTAATTATTATATTATCGAAAATTTTTCTTTTTTCTCTCTTTTCTAATAAAATTGTAAAAACACAATAACAAGATCGTTTACCAGGAGCATATACTAGTAATAGAGTTCTTTAACAGAATTTTCCAGAAAATATATTTTAGAAATCTTAAATCAGAGATATTGTAAACGAAGCAATATCTCTTCAGATACCTATGTAGAATATATAATAGAAATCTAGAATGTCATAATAGAAATCTAGAATGTCATAATAGAAATCTAGAATGTCATAATAGAAATCTTTATCTATAATTATAGAAATCTAGAATATAATAATAGTAAATTGTTGAATATATGAAACTTAAAAACTTTCTTCTAAAATATCCTGAAAGGAAACATAGTTTCGTCGACGGTTTTTTCTTTAAAATAATGTTGACATAATTACAATTAATTACAAAGTGGCATATCCCATTTACAACGACCCTACATATAAAAAAAAACCTTTTCTCTGAAAATTGATTATTTTTATTTCTGGGTTCTTTTAAAAAGTGACTTGCAGAATTCCAGTACAAAAACAAAAGAGGAAATTCTTAAAACTAAAAACTTCACTTGCTAGAAAATCGACGGTATATTCCACAACTGTTCGTAGGCCAGGTACCGTCGTAAACTGGGTATATTCCTCTTAAAATTGAGTTTTCCTGGAATTTATAACAACAGTCTCTTAAATCAAATGAAAGATGAGCTCTACCGGCCTCGGTTTCATTATTTCTAACAATTATTTTCTGTTATTTTAACTTAAGATCGTCACTATTTTTCTGAATTGCACTTCCGTCAGAGAATTTTGTAAACTTTAATTTCATTCGCTATTAATTTTTAATCAGGGGGAAAACAGTTGTAGCAGCAATGTTTCTTGAATGGCGGTTGCAAGATTAGAACTCGAAATCAACCAATTAACATGTAAATTATTTCTAATTTGGTATTCAAACAGCTCCCAAGTATGTAGATGAGATTTAAAATGAAAATTCTTAATTGTATTTTGTAGAATATATTGTGCAAGTGCATGCAGAGTGTTCAAGTATAATGTGCAGAATGTAGAGTGTAGAGTGTAGAGTGTAGAGTGTAGAGTGTAGAGTGTAGAGTGTAGAGTGCAAAGAGCAGAGTGCAGAGTACAAAAGTGTAGGTAGAATGTTATATTTAAACAGTATTAGGTCAGTAAGTTGTAGAATATAGAATGTAGAATGTTGAATATAATGCAGAATATAGAATGAAGAATGTAGAATGTATAATGTATAATGTATAATGTAGAATTTAGAATGTAGAATGTAAATTATAGAATGAAGAACGTAGGATGTAGAATGTAGAATGTAGAATGTAGAATGTAGAATGTAGAATGTAGAATGTAGTATGTAAAATGTAGAATGTAGTATGTAAAATGTAGAATGAATTATGTAAAATGTAGAATGTAGAATGTAGAATGTAGAATATAGAATGTAGAATGTAGTATGAAAAGATGTAGAGTGGAGTGTGTAGAGTTTATTTACTTTGCAGAGTGCAGAAAAACTTGAATTTTAACTATTTCCCAGTTTTTGTTTGATAGAAGATAAATTTTGAATATATCCGAATATTACAGTTGAAAGGGAGTAGAGAAACGAGCAGACTAACATCAAAGCCTGGATATTTTGAATTCATTTACAAGGTTTCAGTCCAATTATTTTAAATTTGTATATCTTATAGATACATTTCGGAGATACATATGTAGATAGAAATCTTTGCTTGTCTTGGTTAAAAAAAGTTAATATCATAAAAGATTTTTGCCAATTTTTTTTTGTGTAAGCTAAAGCTAAAATAAGGGCTTTTCGGTTTTAGAATGTTCTTGTCTAGGACTTCAAAACTTGTAATTTCGCCCTAGTCTTAAAAATTGATGTAACTTTTAAAAGCAGTCTAAAACGATGTGGTCTTGGTTTCTGTGTCATGGTTTAAAAATCAAAAAGAACAGCCCCATGCTTTAATTTTTTAACCTGATGATGTAAACCTTTGATATTTCAAACTTTGAATATTTTATTTGATATAATTCATAGCTTAAAATATCAAAGGCATCAGGTTGCAAAGAATTAAATTAAACTTAAATCCGCTAGAATAAGTATTAAAAACTTTAATTATTAGCAATTTGCAAAGAAACACATTTTGTGCAGAAACCATTTTGCAACCATTTTGAACACATTCCTTGAAAATAGAATCAAATGAATAATCGAATAGAAATGTGTGTTTGTGCAAATGAAGGAATTACTAATTCTCCAGGGTTTATGAATCCTCTGTCGAGAAACATAATTGAAATCTGACCCGGAGTAAAGAGTGCATGGTTAGAGAGGAACCCTGAGTCAGACGGAAACCTGCTCCGGTCCTGAACCTGATCATCGAGAGTACAGTCTACAATCAACTTCAGACAGTTTCGTGTTAAACTTCTCCGATCTAGAGATGCAGTACAGTTTATAATATTATATCCCTGCAGAACAGTTTCTAATCTTATATCCCTGCAGTACAGAATTATGGTTTCTAAATTCATGAGTAGGATTTCATGTATTCAGTAGATCCCTGGTTTACTGGGCAAACTAGGAGAATGAGTTAAAGCCACGGGGTTTCCTGGTAAACTAAGAAGCTGAGCTTGAGTCCCAACACATACGAAGCTATAGTTAGATTGTCCCATCCTTGACAGAGCTGGAGTTGGATTGTCCTATCCTAGACAGAGCTGAAGATAGATTGTCCCATCCTTGACAGAGCTGGAGTTAGATTGTCCGATTATTGACAGAGCTGAAGTTGGATTGTCCCATCCTTGATAGAGCTATAGTTAGATTGTCCCATCCTTGACAGAGCTGGAGTTGGATTGTCCTATCCTAGACAGAGCTGAAGATAGATTATCCCATCCTTGATAGAGCTGGAGTTAGATTGTCCCATCCTTGATAGAGCTGGAGTTAGATTGTCCCAATCCTGACCGAGCTAAAATTATATTGTACCAGACCTGACGGAGCCGGAGTTGGATTGTCCCAAACTCGACGGAGCCAGAGTTGCATAGATTGTCCCAACCTGACGGAGCCAAGATGCCTGGTTTAGTTCTCTTAGTTCTGCTCCTAGTCCCAGTTCAAGGTAGAGGTTTTGTAAAAAAAATATTCGAGCATTTAAAGTTTTTACACGTAGCATTTACCCATTTTCAAAAAGTTGGATGGATGGAAATTAAATTAGGAATAGACCTGTCCTACCCTTTTACGGTGCAATGTCTCTCGATTCAAATATTTGAGAAACCCCAACTGTACCAGATCGTAAACCTACTCTCCATCGTGGGAAGAGAATTTTTTTTACTTTTTTCTAAAAGTATTCATTAGAGAAAAATCAGATAGAAATAAAGCTATTACCAATCGATTTCGATTTATTCCAAAAAAACTGACTGTATGTCTTAAATCATTTTATGATTTCTCTATGGATGAATTGAAAGATTTCTTTCAACATTAAACATTAAAGCATTAAACTCAGTACAAACAAGATTTATTGTAAAATAAATTACGAAATTAATCGATTAATTAATTTATTTTCCGATTTTTTTAAAGAAAACGTTTTAATGCAATGCAAGCATGTTAACTGAATAATCAGGTCATCGAACTCCTAACCATGCTTATGTTTGGATTACTGATCTGATAAGACTAATTATATTTTGTATATTCAGGATCTACTGGATCCAGGACTCAACTAGAGAAGGATTGTTTAGAACTCCTGGATGGGATAAAGAAGGATCTAAACCTGATCCTGGATAATACTGCTGAATATCAGGAACCCAACCCTAACCTTCTCTCTCCCGTTATACCTTCTAACAGCTCAAATATACCCCTCGTTCAACCAGGAACTCCAATCTTCAATCTCTCTCTTCCATCCAATTACTCCATACCTTCCAATCTCACAAAGCCTGCCAATCTCTCCATACCTTTCAATCTCACAATACCTTCCAATCTCTCCATACCTTCCAATCTCTCCGTACCTTCCAATCTCTCCATAACATCCAATCTCTCCATACCTTCCAATCTCTCCATACCATCCAATCTCTCCATACCATCCAATCTCTCCATACCTTCCAATCTCTCCATACCCTCCAATCTCTCCATACCTTTAAATCTCTCCATACCTTCCAATCTCTCCATACCTTCCAATCTTTCCATACCTTCTAATCTCCCAATACCTTCCAATCTCTCTCTATCCTCCAATCTCTCCCTTCCAGCAAATATATCTCTACCAGAAACCCCAACTTTAAACCTAAATTTCTCCAACCCGAATTTCTCTAGCATGGCTGAAACAACACCCAATATCTTGCCTCCAACAGAACCCTCTGGGGGTTCGATAGCAGGAGCGAAAATAAACGGCAATACCTCTGCAACTATCGTTTCCCCTCCGAACCTTCTCCAAAACTCCACTTTGTCTCCAAATCTAGCTGTAACCCAGTCCCCTGTTCCTCTCCCAACCCCTCCTATCCAGCTAGTTAATTCTCTAAACACATCCAGTTCACAATCTCCTGCTGTATTATCTAACCAAACATCATTATCTCCTCCTGTTCCGACCCTTCCCTCCAACCCTCTGC